AACAAAATGTTATTTTAACTCAAATTCAAACATCTGTATGTTTTATGGACCTACAGTATCTATCGTGAGGGAGGGGGGGGGGGGGGAGGGGAGGGGGTGGGTCATGGACATAATCCAAAGTGGATGCATGTGATATGAGCAGCAGCAGCAGGGATATCACAAGTATCCAGGGCATCCATCCAGGGCAAGGGAAGGAGCTCCAGAAACAAATTTTCTAATCATAACTCCTGGCCCGTAAATTCATAAAGTGAAAACAAACCCTTTTTAATAGATAAAATCAATTCTATTTAAAATGAAAATAATTATGAATGCACTTCCTTTAGAATTAAATTCAACCAAAATATAACTTGCATTTTTAAATCAACACGTGTACTGTATTGCCAGTACAAATGTACCATATGCAACACAATATTTTGTTTGGTTTTTGTACATCTCATTAAAATTGTCGCTATAGGAGGAAGTGTTGAAAGTTGTTAGCATATTATCTGTTAGAGGCTGCCATTGGCGAAACGGTACTGCCTCTTACTACTGAAGCATTAATAGTAGAGCCCCACTGGACTTCTGTAAATAGACATAATTTCATTCCCGAAACGTGTGTATTTGCACATATAGACAGGAAGGCTTGGCATCCACAATATTGGATATTACCAGTTGAACTGTTCAGAAGACTTGTGCATCCATCGTGACTGTAAGGACCACTTCCTGAACACTATCTATACCACACAATAACTTATTAACCTCTGACTACTATATACTAATTTGAATTTTACCTTATTTCCTTATAATTTCTATGTACAGTAAATAAGAGGTCGCTCACAATTCTGAACATTTTTGCAAGTGTACAAACAGTACAGATTACTTTGAATAAACATTTTATGCACAATGTAAAGTGTACTAGTCTGTCTACAGTACCCCCTCTCTATTCTAGCAGCAACGTGGTATACCGCGCTAGAGCCTAGCTGAATTTACCTTCAATAAAAACCAAATTATTTTAATCGCTGGCATTATTCCACTTAACAAAATGTTATTTTAACTCTTATTCAAACATCTGTATGTTTTATGGACCTTTCTATCGTGTTCTTTCTAGTTGTTATGCCGAATTGTGTTCTTTACATGCATTTCGCGATCATATCTAGCATTCACGATGTCAATAAGTTGATGACCCCAACACTCTCATTCGTCATCATAAACATGCACGCTCAATCTGACGACACTTGCATTAGGTTTATCACATTAATATAGTGATTATTATACCAGACATGGAAGAAAAGATTGAACTATTAATAAATAAATACAACAAACTTGATTTTATTAAGAAAAATATACATAATCACTTTGTAAAACGTGCGCAGTCGGACTAGTTTTACGGTGATAATTGGTCGATGATGACATCACCTAGGGCAAAGACAATTCGTAAAATCGACTATTCATAAAATCAATGTTCGTAAAATAGACGTTTTACTGTATACACTTTGGATATGAAGTCATTTTCATAGCTCACAACAAATACCATTTATAAGCTATTGCTCAAAATTGCCAAATTCCACAATATAGGAAATGAGTTCAACTTCAACATTCTAGACTAATTAGCATAATGACCTTGACTACCTAAGTCTCTAAAAACTATTGGATTATGGAGTTTCTCAAACACTACTATATGTCCTTAAATCTAGTCATCTGCTAAGTATTGATCTGAACAATTATGTTACTTACAGATAAAATATTTGTATAGTAGCCCCACCCTAATATGCAGTGCATACAACAACCAACGGTCCAGTTAATAGCAATAATATTAATACTAGAAATAATAATTAATTTGTAGACAAACAGCAAAAAGTTAATTTAAAATTAAATTTTTCAGAATGCATCATCAAATGTTAGCAATTGCAAAATCTATTAAAATTCAACAAATTAAGCAGAAAATTATGGGAATACAATAATTAAATTAAGATTCTAATAAACTTTTTTTCCAGATTTTAATAGATAAAAACAATTCAGAATAAAATTAAATGATATTGAATTCTTCAATCATTTTGGCTGCAAAGATGAGCAACCTAGGGGTTGTTTGTTTGGGCCAAAGCTAGACTATGTCATGAATATTAAATAGCAAAATGGTTTTTGTTAATGACAGACTAAACAAAATAATTATCTCAATGATACTGATGATTAATCCAACGTTTAAAGACGAACCAGACATGTACAAAATAATTACATTGGAGCTTACAGTATCTCATTTGTTTTAATAACAACTGACACACCCAAGTTTTACCTGTTAATTGATTATGCATTGTAAAAATTCATATGCAATTCTGATTTAACTCAGTCCATCTGCAGACAAAAAGCTAGTAATTTCATTAGAAATGTAATAAATATTTCTACTATAATTCTGTGATTGTATTTCATAGTGTATCTCTGTTCTTTGTATGTAATGTTGGGACTTCTAGCTAGTTGAGTCATAGAAGCATTGGCTTCTTTACAAGTGTCAGAACCTTTGAGATAAATAAATAAACGATACGAAAATGAAATGAAATATCCCATTAATATTAGTGTTCTCTAATAAATATACATGTATTACATCATGTTGAGTCAGTGAAGAAAGAAATTATACTCACATCAATGAAGGGACTAAACATCAATTTTTTTTTAAAATATTAAACTAGAATCTTCAAAAACTGAAAATGTTTTTTTTTTATCATACCACCTATCAAAGTTTAAGTGAACTTTGTATAGTTTCTACAGTTATGCATCAGAAAAGTGAAAGTGGATGAAACACTGTTTAGTTTTAGAAACATTCACTATGATTTAATCTGGACAGAGCTGTCATGCTCAACAATAGAATTAGAAGGACAATACCGCATTGGGCATGGGTTTCAGTCAGGGACAACGGTTTAGCAGACTGAAAAGATACCAGATTTAGACAAATATTCCAGTAATAGTTAACGCTAAATCCATGTGGTTACAGGATAGTAGTATAAATAGTGCACCAGTAACCACAAAGTCAAGTATAAAGATCATGTATCGATAAGTATTTAATATGAATATTAAATAGTCAGCTAGCTATTTAGTCACCTGTTATGTCTTCTGGGTTCTTTTAAAAACTATTTTCTTTACATCAAAAGTAAATAAAACTGCATTCTTTACTAGAATTTTTAATAGCAAGCACAAATTCATCCTGGAATAATCTGCTTTCTGTTTATCCTATGCCTGATATAGCAAAAAGTTTAAAACATTGAGAGCTGTAAGCAGAGAGCATTTCTGTTAATTATTGTAAGGGATAACTTAATAATAAGGGGCATCCATATGATAAATACATTCAAGCCAACACTTTCTAATTCACGATAATGTTAAATGGAAGGGATTTTTTCTCACGATTTATTCATCCGCTTCTGTTTAAAAAGGCAGGCTTCTATGTGATGCTATCTTGCGCTAGCCCTTTCTTTATCAACTCACCGTAACGCCACTATATTATTTAAGTTTATTATTAATGCTAGGCTACTCTCATTGGAAAAAAACTAATAATTAAATATTATTCTTTTTATTCTTAAATTTAATCTGTCACTCAAGCTTACTCAAATATTAAAAATATTAGGCTAGGCCTAGGGCCTTGTGAAAAATAAAATCGTTTTCTTAATATTAGATGTGATTTTCGTGTTGGGATTCAAAGATGTTATTTTCGTGGTGTACTCTAGGGCCTAGGCCTCCTAGATTTAGCAAATAAAAATTTTAAGTGCTGAGGAGTGGTTGCCTACAAACGACCAAAATACTGTCTGGTGTGTGTAGAATCTTTGCTAAAAAGCCAATGAACACACAGCTGAGCTGAGTGTGACATCCAGTGAAGGGAGCGTGGTGGTAGAGTAGAGGCCTAGGACTAGCCTTCCTAGCACAGAGAAGTCCACTACCCTAGGTAGGCCTAAATTCCATTATCCTGGTGGGCAGTTGGTAACGGTGTGCTCTGAGTGTTGAAAGACATCCATGTTTATATAAAACATAAACATAAATTAATTTCCTTTACATTAGTAGAAGATGCAAGACAACACTGGAGTGTTCATACCTTCGTTTTGGCTTTCAATTTCCATCGTAATACCGGTTTCCGCCATATTCAATATAATGTCATGCGCTATGAGCTAACTTGCTGTTTTGCGGAGTTACCAAGTGTATTATACTCCCCCAGGCCAATGAAAACATAATGCGCAAAGGCTAACACACTACTAACAGCGAACCTCTACCGATTACTATAGAGGGCGATGTGGTTAAAAGGTAAATGATCACACTCATCACGTCTGTACAGTAACAGTTTCTTTAATTTTTCAAAATTGTACTTTTTAGCAGTTTTTATAATGCAGCTCTCCCTCTATTGAAAGACCATCCAATTAAGGACCACCTCTAATTAAAAACCACTATTCTGTGGTCCCACATTAACACATTTATTTTTTCTTTATTATTAATGAAGACCAAAGCTGCTAAAGACTATGAAAAACCCGTACCAAAAGTGGTTTTTATGATTGGAGGGAGAAAAAAATGGAGAAAAAAACAAATTATACTGAAATTTAAGTCTAAGAGTGCCATTTCCGACCATCTAGAGGTGCCATAATCTTAATTTTTCTTGTGAAAGTTCCTCCCTGGGCCCACTTCAAGTGTTCTACAGTCTACATGCCTTGTTGTCATAATTTTTTGTTTCAACGACTTATATAAGAACACACGTGGATTTACAATGATATATATATATATATATCAGGCAAAATACT